TTTTCATTTTGTTTATTCATTAAATGTCATTAATTTGATTATCCTTGTTTTGTGTGGCTACCAAAAAGGTAGAAACTATCTCTAATTTAGGCATGAAATTTCATTAGTTTCATTTTCATTTGTGTCCTTCGTTTCCCTCGTTATTAGTGGGATTTAGGCCTCCATTTTCTGCTCCTGTCTCCTGTCTCCTGTCTTCTGTTTAATTTGCTGGAAATTGCAATTGTGGCAGCTCTAATTAGGTTTTCCTTTGGCCCGCCCCCAACTAGAGGATACTTTTAGTTGGGGGATAGCATTTGACATCGGTAACACCTGGACATGGGCTAATACTCTGAACCGCTGGCTAACCGAATGTCTTGAGAAAGGTCAAATGTTTTCGGTTTTTGTGTGTGTTTGCCCTGAAAGTGGGTGTTAGGAATGTTGGCAGAGGATTGCTGTGTAGAAAATACAGCATACAAAATTATACTCTCTGACCATAAAAAGTATTTTAATAGATATTGCTGCTAAGATTAGGAACAACATTTTACTTACTCTCCGAATTTCGAATATAACCACAACTAGTGGTTTAATTAAATAATATAAAATGTGACTCCTTTTCGACTCGCAGGGGAGTTTTTTTATTTATATATACGAAATCGGAGCAAACACAAGTTACCAGTAGGCCGAGTGGCTTTCTATCCTCTCTCTGTGATTGATATCGCGCCATAAATAATTGTTTTTGAACAAATATTAAGTGTAGAATCAATCAAGATTCTTTTTCAAGACATTTCCTTATAGATTTCGTTGCTTTTATTCGTTTCTAAAGATAATTTAAAAAGACATAAAGACATGAAACAGAAATATTTCCACTTGAATTTATATCTTTCATAGAACCTATGGATATTTAAGGGTATTCTTAGCTTCGTTCCTTGGAAATAATCTTGCTTTTCTTTAATTTTCTTGTGTTCCTTTGAGGCGACAAATGTTTTTGTATCAACGAACGTCTCCACTTGATTGTTTTCATTTCTGTCTCATTCTTTCTTTTGTGTTTGTGTGTTTGTGTATTTCTTTCTTGTGCCTGTGTGTGTGTGTGTGGTGTTTGTCCCAAATTTGTGCCATTGACATTCGCCGGAAGCCAAGGAAAAACACTTGCCCGTCGGCTGTGCTCCGTCCCTTTGCCGTCGCGCTCTGCCTTCTCTGTCTTGCATTTTCAGTTGTAAATCTCGCGGTCCAAGCGTCAATTTTCTTGTTGATTTGTCAACACGAGACATCAATATTGAGGCATACGCCACATGTGGCAGCGCCACCAATTTGTATTGAATTTCAAATAATTTCTAAGAATTTCCATTTAAACTTTTATGAACATTTTTGACAGCAAGAATATAAATTAGAAGAAGCTTTAACTGAAGGCAAGACTTTTTGTGGGTGTAAAGTGGGAGGAAAATTCATATTTCTTTGCTTAAATTTGCGCGTTAAACTTCTGATTATAATTGAAGGTAATATTTCTCACCCAAATATTTATATTAATTTATCTGCCGCAACACACAAATCCTAAATATTTAATTGGATCCACAGGATGAGGACACATGTGTTTAATTCTAAAATTTATACACCATTTTAGGCGTTTAATTAATGCCATTTTACTGCTTCCGTTTGAGGTTCTTGCTGTGGTCTACCATGAGTAGTGGCTTCATGGCTGAGTTCCACCTGCCTTTTGCATAATTTATGGAAATATCTCAACAGACAACAGACAAATGTTGCAGCAGCAGCAGCAACGGATGTGTCTGATGGTCGGAAGCGTTTGACAAATTGTTTGTAATAAGTTTTTTTGAATGTAAACCGGGACAGGAACCTAAAACTACTATAAATTGTACGTTTTACAGGTTTCACTCGAAGTAACAGAATTTTGACTGAGAGAAATATGGACCTTCCTTCATCTGTCCGCTCTTGAAAGTTGTTAATTCACTGAAAAACTAATTTTTAGCTGTAGTTTTTGGTGCGTTTGGTATTTAAAAATAGTTTAATAGTTAAACAAAAATAAATAACTAATTGGAAAACAGTAGCCGAAAACTCTCGAGACTCAATGGATGGCTGAGCAGTGGGGTAGATGCATTTTATTCTCCAGCCACAGTTACAGTGAAAAACACTCGAAACTCGAATTCATTTTGCATAATAAATGACAAAAGAATTTTTTTGTGTTTTGGACAAATCCAAGAGGAAATTTTGCATTTGTTTGCAGGAAAAGTGCTTGAGTTTTGAAGGGTGCTGTGTTGGGTACTGGGAATGGCCACTGAAGGTTGGAGGAAGGGAGAAAGGAGGAAATAGTTGTAGGAAGGGAAAATGATTGTTCGTTGTATTCAGAATATTTTTCGGGAAACCTCTACTGCGGCAATGGAAATGGTTGTGCTGAAAAGAGATTTATCTATCATCATTCAGCCAAAATGCATGCAAATCGGACTGCTACATATGGCAAATACACATGTATCTCGTATTTTATGGATACTTCTTACAGCAATTGAAAATCGATCTCATGAAGTGTGATTAACTCTCAGTTTTTAAGATACGAAATCCCATTAAATACACAAAATAAAGACAGCTTAAAAATGGATTTATTTTCATAACTTTCAAACTTTTAAACTTATCTAAGACAAAGCAAAAGACATTGTCTCGGGTCTGTGTTTAAAGTGAACGTTTCTGAAAATTGTATTGTATCTTCTGGAAAAATATTATTATATTAATGCGGTTTATTTTTATTTTACAATGCGATTATATTTTTTATTTAAATGCTTCTCTATTTATTCCTTTTTTCTTTTAAATACTTTTCCTAGCAAAATTTCCCATTTAGCATTCGCACCATCCGCTACGCTCTGTTTTATTTCCATTCTCATTTAATTAGCAATGAATGTGTGGCCTTAGTCTGTGGATTTACTCTACGAACATTTTAAATATTCATGTAATTGAATTGTTTACAACTTGCAGAAGCAGCAATAGCAGACGGGGCATGCCACATGTCAACAACAACCCACAGGATAACTCTTTCTCTCTTCCCATCCGAATAAATACCATATGCACCATGCTGCAATGTGTAAATGTGAAATTTTTCAACAATTTACGACTATTGGTGGTTTTTTCACTCACACCAATGCTGATTATCTTTTGATTATAAAAGAGGGATATATGCGATGTATAGAATTGGTAGTTGTTGTCACGGATAATAATTATTAATGCAATTTGCAATTTGCAGTGAGAAGCGAAGGACCAACCAACGATAAGCCCCTGTCCTGTCAACAGCCGACGGAATTTCAATGAGTTTTCATTAATCACATTAACCTTTTCTACCCCATGATTATTCAGGAATCTCTTACAGAATCCTCATTAACATCCTTCGATTAACATTTTTCTTGCTTTCCTTCTTTCCTTTTGCTATAACGAAATACTGTGAAGCTACTTGACTCCTGTCTGCAGATATCATCTGTTGTTTGGCTTTGTTTTTGCTTCCCATCGGCTTTCGGTTCTTGTGAGCTTTGTTTCGTTAAATGCAAAGAATTTAAGGACTCGCAGGACCTCTCGTACTACGCTTTTCGATAATTCGTTTTTATCAAGTGACACAGATCTTTATTTAAATGTCGTGTGTGGACGTCTCGTGTTTTTTGTTGGCTTTTATCTAACTTTCCTGCCATTTTCATCTCTTGGCACTGTTTTTCCTGACTGCTCATTTGTTCGTTTTTTTCCGGTGTTTTCTGTGTGTTTATCTCTTTCTTTTTACACACTTTTTCTTGGCTTTTTCACATTTTCAGCACTGGTTTTTGCCTGTTCTTACATTCTCGACTTGTTTTCGGTTATGGTAATGATAATGTTTTTGGCTCTCTTTTGGCTGCTGGGAAAATTATATTTACTTTTGAGGAAAGACCCGCACATATGGGCAAATTGGAAAGCGGAATTTGTGGCCTGTAGATGTAATGTTGTTACTGGGGCTGTTTGTTAAAGTAGTTTCTTAAAATTTAACAAACTTACGAAAAAAAGAAGCTGATGGATCTACCATAATGCAGACACTTTCAAAATATTTTCTACATTTTGACCCTTTGAATCTACACCCAAATAGCCATTACTTTCCAGCCATTACTTTCCAGCCATTACTTTCCAGCCATTACTTTTCTTCCTTTACTCGACCTACCATAAATTATCAAAAAATGTTCTTCCTTTGCCTAAGTTTTCCGCGCATTTTTCACTAATGAAGAGACAATTTAGGACCTCAAATTTGCTGGAAAATGTAGGGCTACATTTAGGGGAAAAACGTAACCGTAACTGAAGCGAAAGTATCTACTTATTTGGCCAGGAAAAACCGACCGACTCCCAAGTGTCTTTCGCCTATTTTCGGCGGCAAAGGGTTGCGCTGAAACTGTTTTGTTGCCCTAATATTCCTGCCCAAAGTAACACCAAAAGGGAAACAAAATTGATTGACAATTATTGATATTTTATGGGACTCGTTTGACAAAGTAGCTGCTTCTGCTGCTGATGTTCTTTTAATACGAAAAACAAGGGAGACGAAATTGCTGTTGACATTTATGGCGATGACAAAAAAATATCAAAAGGGAAGAATTTGAAAACTTTTTTGAATACTTTCTGATTGTTGAAGATCTCTAAGAGGGTTTTCCTTATGTCTTTTAGATTTCTTAATTGTGTAGCTCCTTAATTTTATATGTTTTCAAAGGGCTTATAAAAATGTATGTATTAAACAGTAATTGTTTTAAAATACTTCAGATATTTTTGTTGTTGTTCTTTTGTGCGTATGTATTTCAAATTGATAGAAAAAAAGTATTTACAAGATAATATCGAGAATATTTAACGAAAAAATAGGATTTTTTGATGCACAAAAATTTTGGAATATAATAAGGCTAAGGTAAAAGCTAAAAATGGGAATATTTACAGGCTTTATTTTCACGAAATTTCAAAAAAATTAATTCAGAATAGAATTAAAATTCTACTTAGAAAAGCTTAAAATATTAAAATTATTCCAAACTCACCTGTGTGCTTTTGAATAAAAAGGTTTTTTAAATAGATTTATTCAAATGAATTTCGGTGTTCAATGAATTAAACGCACGATTAAACTCGTTTTTTCTACCAATCAAATATAGTTTTTCTTCAGAGTAAAGTTTCTTTTGATTTAAATGTTTTTTCACTGTTTTTTCACACACGAAAATTGTTGCGATTTCGAAAACTTTTTCAATTAAATGGAAAAGTCAGTTTTGCAAAAGTTTTGCGCAAAAATGTATGCTACACTTTTAAACGGTGAGAAAATGTCCCTGAATGTGGGAGCAAAAACGTTTTTTGAAAACTAACGGTCCAAACGAGGGCTGGTTGATTGGTTGTTGGTTCGATCGGTTGTCGGCTGGTTGTGGGTTGTTCTGGTTGTTCGTTCGTTGAGTTACCTTCGAAGCGCGACAAACGAATGCAACGGCAACGAGGAGGCCGACTGGTTTTATAGCGAACGTCGAGACGAGGCCGCAACGAAACGAACCCTCCCGCCACGAATGCGAAGCAACCGAAAGGCAGGCAACCCCCCCTAGACGAAGCGAAGAACCCCCCTAAAAATGGTAGGAATACCGCCCCCCAGAGAACTCCCCCGTCGGAAAGCCGTTGCACTATGGTCCCAATACCACTGTTGGCCAAAACCCTCAAAAGTTAAAAAATACCCGTTTTGATCACTCTGATAGAAAAATGAGCTTATAAGTTCGTACCAGATGTCCATAGATGGCGCCCATTCGCAAAATCAGCTGTGCAACCCAGCTGTTCCTAACAGCACCCCAGTGAAAAGTGGCAATAATTACTTTAAATCCTCATAAATTGAAAAATACGATTAACCGATCAAATTTTTGATTGAATCTTAATTGTTGGGTTTTTACTACGTGTTTGTATTGTTAACTGTATCTCGTAGTTGTGATGTCTTAGTACTTTAGGTTAAAATGAGTCCTTTTTTTAGCCAATTTTGATTGAAACTGTGTTGAAAACGATATTTAGTGAGTCCCACCTAGTCCCACCTTAAATCTATTGTGTGTTGTAGATTAATAAATTCTTGTTGAAATGTATATAGTAAGAATACCACATTTGACCACAAATCTTAAAATCATTAGTAGATATAACCTAAAATCAACAATCAGGTTGTTGGCTTGCTAAAACAATAAGTTGAATGCCCAGAGAGGCTTAATTGATTCGCAAGCTGTACAGAACCCAGTAAGAAACCCAAACTTTCTGACCCAACGAGCACCCTGGAACGCTTTTCCACCCTACACAAGGGTTTCTCTAGGTGGCAACATTACAAAAATTGTTGTTTAAATCAAAATTTGTGTGTTTTATGCGTGCCACCCTTTATAATTTAATAAAAATTAGTTAAACTAATTCTTAATAAAACTGTTATAATTACCTACCATCATTAACTATTTTTCTTATAAAAAGCGCCCCCCTTTTTGTAACTATGATTTATATATACGATACAAAACTAATTTGAAAAATCTGTTTCGTTGGGGCCAACAAAAGTGGTTGTTGGGACCATAGTGCGTTGCAACTTCCACTGGTTGCTGATTTTTCCTGTTGCTTTCGCAAGCTTTTGCCGCCGGCTCTTGTGTGGGTTTGGGTCTTGACTAAGACAAAAGCTCGCTTTCGCCCACGTTTATGTTTGTTGCATTCATCCTTTGGCTATGTGTGTGTGTGTGGCTGCCCCATTTGTGTGTTTGTGTGGGCGAATGCGTGAGAGGGAGACTCCCACACTCTTACGCGTTGACTCCTGTTTTTTTGTTGTTTATGCTGCTGCCTTTCTGACGTCAGCGGGTTGGGGGTGGCATATGGCTGCGTGGCGTTGATTAAAAGCTCCCTGTCCTTTGCAGCGCCTGATGCCCTAACGCCTGCTGCCTCTCTGCCGGCTGCCTGCTGCCTCTCTGCCATTCGCTGGAATAGGTTTTGGGCAGATTGTTGGCTATATAGTTATTGTTGCTGCTGTCCGCTGGACGCCTACGCACATGTGTGTGTGTGTACAGGATTATGTGTTCGTGTGGTAGGCGGCGCCTACGTTTTACCTTGAAATAATGGCAGAAACGGAAGGAAGGAAGGAAGGGTAGAGAAGCTAATGAAGCCGAGGTTGCATCAAGATACAGACTCCACTGATTGGATGACACATAATTGAAAACTCAACCGAAACATTAGTTTGTGTTAATCCTTTTTTAAGGAGTTTAAAAACTTTAAATTAAGCATTTTTGGATTAAAGAAAGATAAACGATTTATTTATACGATCTATATAATATTATCCTCACTTCCTCATATTTTCTGCGTTTTTTATTCTTTGATGCTTTGAATTCTGAATTTTATGAATATTTTTATTTATCCCTCAATTAGAAAGCTATCTATCTGAAACCTTGCACAGTGCTAAATAAAAGAGTGCTATGGTCAATATTTGATGTCTTTATCTGTGATAAGATCTATCCTTCATTATACTACCTATACTAGCTATGGGCCAAGTGTGAGTGGGAGAAACGTTTATTATTCTATAGATAATCCAATGAAACTTTGCCTACTGTGGTTTTAGTATAGTTTTATAACATTTGTACTTGGCATTGAGCCAATTTGAGCAATTTATATTAAAATCTAATATCCTGCTGACTCTTCGGTGTCTTATAATAAGTTTAACAGCAACTTTTCATAAATGAAAATAGTTTTAGAAGCATATTTATGGATTTTCAGGCGACATTCGCATTTATAAGGCCATAGAACAATTCTCTACTCTCTGGAAATACTTGCAACTAAAAAAATGCAAGCCAAATCATTACATGTTTACTGAATTTATTTGTCATATTATGGCGATAAACGAGGCTAAATGAGTAAAAGGAGTTGGTAAAGAAAATTAAACCAAACTTCAGATTTATCTTCAAATTCGAGCTAATTTTTATGCCAGATTTCATAGTTAACATAAAAATATGAATTTTACAAGGATATTCAATGCAAGAGCCACTAAATTTAGTCTTTCTTTCATAATTTATGAAAGAGTATAGGTTATCACTTCCGTATAGTTACCCTAGAAACAGGAAGAACAGAAGATATTCCCCGCTTCGATGAACATTTTATTTCCTATTCTATTTATGTATTGACTTAAACGGACATTCCCTTTCCTTTGTTTGATTTAATCCCCATTTTGGTTTAATTATTGCGTACTTTCTGCTCAACCCCCCGCAATCCCCTTACAGTTGGAGCTTAAATTACATTGTTGTACATTTATTCAGCTGCATTTTCACTTTTGACATTTGACAACCGCCTGCCTAATGAATGGGTAAGAAAAATCACTTATAATGAAATATAATCCAATGGGCAGAGGGGCGACGGACAAAAGTGTGGATGGATGATGTATTATTGCAGATATAACGCATACGCAATGTGGGAGGCGCAGAGAAAGGCGCATAAAGCAGAGGGGGAAGGCACTTTTTGATTTTTGAGACGAAATGCAAGCCATTTAATCGATTAAATGACAAATGAAAATAAATTCACTAAAAGGCAAATATGCAAAAATATTTCGAGATGTTTTCACTTCGGCATTCTAATTTTAGACTATGTATATTATTGATATTCTGTAGTTGGAATATCAATACAATTTTTGTATGTGGAGATGTACGAATTTTCGGCGTCAAGGGAAAATATAGTATTTTTCTAAACCAATTTTCACTTGATTTCTGTTGCTTATTTTTATTTTTTTTTGGTATTGGTATTGGTAACAGTTTACAGTTTCGCTTAAACGGCAGCGCCAACTAGGGATGGCGACTGAGTGCTTAATTCGGCACCACTAGCGGCCAGTAGAGACAGCTTTTTGTGCTGAATTTGCCGACCGTTTCCACTAGATGGCGTGTTGGCCGCAGCCCCCAAGTCGCATGGCCGCTAGCTTTTGTCTAGAATGAAAAATCGAAAAAGCGACTCGTAGATGACCTTGATGATGTTGGGAACGGGGCTAAAATTATAAACGGGGAAACAAGACCATTTTGAGCTTGATGGCCGTTTCAATTTTAATACCACAGCTGTTCAGCGACGAGTCGCAGGCAATGTCCAGATATAATTTAATATATTATAATATAATATATATTATATAATATTAGATATATGTACATATCTAATAATTTATATCTTTCCTTGGAAGAGAAGCTGTCCGCCTAAGAAATAAAGCCAGGAAAAATAGTGATAGAATTTAATAGAAATAGAACAGAAAAAATTTAATTGAAAAAAAAAAAAAAATTGGAATTAAAATGTAAAATTCCGGAATAAAGTAATTGGCAATCTACAACTCTGTGGGTGGTGTGATTTGTATTTTTAAAGTTTTACGAGCTTCTTTTTCAAACAGTTTTTCAACACCCCCACCCACTCGAATTTCATTGCCGAAACGTAGTAGACGCAAGCCGTAGGTAACCTTAAACCGAACCACCTATGGAAAACACTCAACGGGAAAGACCCAACGCAGGCAAAGTATCAATTAAACACTTGGGGCTTGAGGGCCCCACAGAGCCACCGCTTGACTGCTCAATTAGCCAAAACTCTCATCAGGCAAAAGGCAGCAGCAGCAGCAGCAGCAACATCTGCCACAGCAGCAACAGCAGCAGCAAGAGCATGTTGCTTCCAAGTAATCAATCGACAGGAAAGGTGTGAAAAAAATCACATTGAAACGAAGCTTTAATTGAAAACCTATCAGCCACACAGATTGGTAGGAGGGTTGTGGTATAGGCGGGAGCGGGAGCGGGAGGCAGCATCTTGTGGGTCGTTAACTATGATTTGCAATCCGTGCAACAGGCAACCGGCAACAGGCCACAGAGGCCTGTGTGTGCTTGCTACGTGTTGCCGCCTGCTGCTGCTGCTGCTGCTAGTGCTGGGGAGGGGCTTTTGGATAATGATAATTTCGCATGAGATTCTGAGATTCGTTCGTTCTTCCTTTTTGGGATGGTTGTAAAATTTTATCGCCAAAACATGACGGGCAAATCAATTTTTATTATTTTATCATCCATCGACGCCTGCTTAAAGGTGCCCCCCCCCAACCCAACCCATCTGCTGCGGAATCAGAATCATCCGAATGGATGTATCTATGTATCTGTAGCCAGCCATCCGCGGTATGCTATCTCTAGCCTGCCTCCAACCGCAGCATCTAGCTCATAGCTAAGCAGGCAATCATCATCCCACCGCGGACAATCGACAGGCATCCCAGTCAGCCAGTCGGCCTGCCAGCCAGCCTGCCAGCCAGCCAGCTAGCATCCTCTCGGAATGAAGCCTCCAAAACTGAACAATAGATGTATCTGACAGATGCGGTAGTGGTTGGGGGAGGAGGGGCACCAACAATGCGCTAAATCATTATCAGTAATTATGCATTGTGTTGCGCCCTCCCCCGCACTCTCTCTCTCTATCTCTCACTCTCCCTCACTG